CTTGCAACTGTGTCAGGATCAGTTTCCATGAGTCTCTCACACATCCAATGGATTACCTTATAAGAATCTTCTACTCGACCATGTAATTCCATTAGTGCTCTCTTCCTAACCCTATATGCTTGAGTATAGTTCAATTGCACTCCATATTCTTTATACAAGTCCTTTTTGATTTCATTAGGACTCTTGTCAACATTGCACCTCAAGTTATCAATCACAATTGAAGCAGCTAAATTTGACCTTCCTGAGTGAGGTACAATTAAGTTGTCCTGTGCATGATGAATGTGTTCACTTTTGTACGTTCTGATAGTTAAAAACTCAGTATCTTGATGTGCTCCCATTGAATATACACCCATATACCATGGACAACCATCAACCTTGCACTTCACAATGATCTTTTGCTGATTATTCTTAATGAAAACGTACGAAAACTTCTGCCATAAGCTGTACTTGTATAATGTTTTTCAGAGAGTAGTGGCATTTGAAAATATTTGTCCTTCTCCAATAATCAAATCCTTCCATTTTGTGGAATTCATTTGTGGTGTAGGTGTTGGGATCATTTCAACAGCACAAGGAATTGATTGTGGCTCTCCAATCACATCAAATAAGGTAGGTGGAGACATAGATAATTCATTGACACCTCCAAATGATTGATCAATCCTGTAAAAAATGACAAGTCAGGGTGTATGTATTGACAAGTTGGTAGCAATACAGTAACAACTGACATACTAAGAAATCACAATAACAGTTTTCTTAAACTATATTTACACATCTTGCTCCTCCATTGTATTATCTCTTGTTGCTTCTATGTGGTCCTCATTTTCATTTTCTTCAACATACACATGACCACTTTCTTCATTGAACTTTATCAAATGTTCCACCCCATCATCATCTACCAACTCCACAAAAGTTTTTTTTATCAAATACAACAGAGAATTTCAGAAGAAATGAGTTGCTTTTTTTCCAGCAATTGATGATATAATTTCTTTCAATTCTTCATAACTTGTGCCCTCCTTTACATTGGTTGTTCTTACACTACCTCTCACATATCTCATATTATCTTCTCCATCATTTATAAACTTTCCCCCTATGTGAACAAAGCAAAATAGATGTTTTCCAGACGTAGTCGCCATCAGTAACTTAAACCTGCATCAACCAGTACGCAACTGTCATTGACAACTTAAGGAGCTACATTGACAAGTGTAGCGGCACACATTGACAACAATCGCGGCCTGATTGACAACACAATCCCATTTCGTGCTAAGAGTTTCTACCCTCACTAACCTTCATCTTTTTCTTCCTTTGCCACTAAACTAACGTCAGAACAGAGGAAAACCACCCAAAAACAAAGCACCCATTATCATTCTACACACCCAACTTAAATCACAACACACACCAACCAAAAACACAGCTTTTCCATTCATTAACTTCTGAATCCTAAACCAAAAACAAAAGCTTTGAAATACCATCAGTAACTTAAACCTGCATCAACCAGCACGCAACTGTCATTGACAACTTAAGGAGCTACATTGACAAGTGTAGCAGCACACATTGACAACAATCGCGGCCTGATTGACAACACAATCCCATTTCGTGCTAAGAGTTTCTACCCTTACTAACCTTTATCTTTTTCTTCCTTTGCCACTAAACTAACGTCAGAACAGAGGAAAACCACCTAAAAACAGAGCACCCATTATCATTCTACACACCCAACTTAAATCACAACACACACCAACCAAAAACACAGCTTTTCCATTCATTAACTTCTGAATCCTAAACCAAAAACAAAAGCTTTGAAATACCATCAGTAACTTAAACCTGCATCAACCAGCACGCAACTGTCATTGACAACTTAAGGAGCTACATTGACAAGTGTAGCAGCACACATTGACAACAATCGCGGCCTGATTGACAACACAATCCCATTTCGTGCTAAGAGTTTCTACCCTCACTAACCTTCATCTTTTTCTTCCTTTGCCACTAAACTAACGTCAGAACAGAGGAAAACCACCTAAAAACAGAGCACCCATTATCATTCTACACACCCAACTTAAATCACAACACACACCAACCAAAAACATAGCTTTTCCATTCATTAACTTCTGAATCCTAAACCAAAAACAAAAGCTTTGAAATACCATCAGTAACTTAAACCTGCATCAACCAGCACGCAACTGTCATTGACAACTTAAGGAGCTACATTGACAAGTGTAGCGGCACACATTGACAACAATCGCGGCCTGATTGACAACACAATCCCATTTCGTGCTAAGAGTTTCTACCCTCACTAACCTTCATCTTTTTCTTCCTTTGCCACTAAACTAACGTCAGAACAGAGGAAAACCACCTAAAAACAGAGCACCCATTATCATTCTACACACCCAACTTAAATCACAACACACACCAACCAAAAACACAGCTTTTCCATTCATTAACTTCTGAATCCTAAACCAAAAACAAAAGCTTTGAAATACCATCAGTAACTTAAACCTGCATCAACCAGCACGCAACTGTCATTGACAACTTAAGGAGCTACATTGACAAGTGTAGCGGCACACATTGACAACAATCGCGGCCTGATTGACAACACAATCCCATTTCGTGCTAAGGGTTTCTACCCTCACCAACGTTCATCTTTTTCTTCCTTTGCCACTAAACTAACGTTAGAACAGAGGAAAACCACCCAAAAACAGAGCACCCATTATCATTCTACACACCCAACTTAAATCACAACACACACCAACCAAAAACACAGCTTTTCCATTCATTAACTTCTGAATCCTAAACCAAAAACAAAAGCTTTGAAATACCATCAGTAACTTAAACCTGCATCAACTAGCACGCAACTGTCATTGACAACTTAAGGAGCTACATTGACAAGTGTAGCGGCACACATTGACAACAATCGCGGCCTGATTGACAACACAATCCCATTTCATGCTAAGGGTTTCTACCCTCACTAACCTTCATCTTTTTCTTCCTTTGCCACTAAACTAACGTCAGAACAGAGGAAAACCACCCAAAAACAACCCAAAAACAGAGCACCCATTATCATTCTACACACCCAACTTAAATCACAACATACACCAACCAAAAACACAGATTTTCTATTGATTAACTTGTGAATCCCATCTCCAAAACCACCCACAAGCAACCCAAAAACACAAAAACGATTTTTTGATTTCCCATTTCCAAACAAAAGCACAATCTGTCAAGAAAGCTAGGAGAGAAGAGGAAAGAAAGTTTCACACCTGAAAGTTTGTGGAGATTCACATGGAAGCTCTTTGGAGTTCACTAATGGTAATAGAGAGGATATTTCATCATCAATGGCTCCTTCCCTCTTTCCCAATGTCTTCTTTCTCAAGCATATTGCGCGGGAACTCTCAACCAAATGAAATGCTGCTTCTTCGTTTCTGATGGCTTAGGGCAGGGCAAGAGAGTAATTTACAGATTCTAAAAATTGCATCTAAGTCCCTTTGGGACTTCAGAAAAATTATGACATTTCAGGGGACCTTTTTGCTGTATTTTGGCTTCTGTGGGACCTCAATGTCATTCTCCCAAATAATAATCATCATGATAAATTATGCTTCCATATGCTTCCGTACCAACCTTGTATTTTGAATACTCACTAGTGTCAGCAGGGGTATGTGAGATAGATATTATCGAATAGCATCTTTCAAAAAGAGATATGAACATGAGGCTTTCGATAAAACAGTGTTTTCTGAATTACCTAAGGCCAATAAGCAAATAGAAAATGACAAATCCATGGATATTTAAACTCGAGTTCGGAGGAAAAGCAGTGTTTTCTTTTATGGAACAATAGGGGATCCTTTCGAACGGCTTGTTACAGTAGGAAGGTCTTGTATGTTGAATTTAAGTTATCAAGTGTATGATAAAATACATGGACGCTCTGGTGGACATTATGCTCTTGTTTAGGAAAGAACTCCTTACTGTGCGTGATGATGTCCTCTCCCATTTGATGTCACTGAACAAAATGAACTTATCAATTACAAGCGTAGGATGCTACCCTTCACAAAGTTAGAACATTACTTGTAATCTTGAATTGTTTATGTAATTAAAACGAAAGGCGATTCAGAGCTTAGAAATGTAACTTCGTCTTGTTTTCCGGATATCAAATATACCTGTCCAATGCAGTCACAAATTTACCCTGCAAGTGATTGTTGTAATAACAATGCTAACTTCAATTTTTCATCTGGCCTTTTTTAACTCTTTTTTTTATTTGTGGCCATTAACTCCATTTACTGAACATTTATCAATATTTGTCTATGCATTGATTCCTTGTGGTAAAAAGAATTCAAGCAGGGTTTTTTATTTGGATCACATTTTTGGGTTCTTGGTACTGAATGAATGAGTACATATGGGTGTATATTGAAAAATTGAAGATTTTTTGCAGTAGTGGTATTGTTCAATCACTGAAAGAAGCAGCCTTTAATCCAAGTTACAGTGTGAAATTTCATTGGGTCTCATCCAAAGGCATCTGAGCATTGCTTGGTTTAAATGAAGATGATGGATCATGGTTAAAAATATTCACCATGCTTCCAAATGAATTGGACAAGACATGTATTATTAAGTATGTGTACTTGGAAGCGGGAATTTTTACCCCACCCCTTTTATCATCTTTGGATGTTGTATAGGGTATTATGCTTGTGACTTTAACAATTTTGATTAATTAGATTATAAGTAAGAGACGTGATATTTTATGGGTTATTATTTCCAGCTATTTTCTGACACTCCATGATGGTACTCTCCTCTTCTCTATGAAAATATTTGGCTAGAATGTTGATGTGATGTGAGCATCTGCACTTTTATGAACTATCATGTATCTCATGACTTGTGGTTTACCATATGATCTTGTTGCTTCTCAAGTATTTGTTAAAGAAAGTGGTTTTGAAATTTGACAGGGGGTGAAGCAAATACTATGTCGGAAGAGAAACTTTCCCCTGCATTTTGATTCTGAGTCACAATCTTGCTTGAATGAAAACATGAGGTTTACTGTAATTTCCAGATTACTCCCTTGTCGCCACAATCTGCCCAGTACATGTGCACTTGGGAATTCTCGTGCATTCCAACCTAATTTTGTACCCAGAGATCCAAAAGCCAAACCAAAAAAGTACAAAATTCCTCAATTTTATGATCCATATGGTCCCAGACCTCCCCCCTCAGAGAAAGTTGTTCAGCTTGCAGAGCGAATAGCAGCACTGCCTTATGAAGAACGCCGTCAAATTATGCCTGTTTTGGGAGAAAGACTAAGGCTTCCGAAGTTGCAGCCAATTTCAACTAAAGGCTTGGACTTGGCTCCACAAAATGGTGCTGCTGGACCGAAGGCTGAGAATTTTCCTGTAGGTAGATATTGTTAGAGCTTACTGTTTGTATTGTTGACAGTTAAAATTGCAGTTTGTCCTGGAGGTCAATCTTTTTAAATGGTTCTGTGATGAACTCAAAAATTATATCAGCTGGTTACCAGCTGTATTCTTACACTCCATGATTCTCCTGCGCATGACTATTCCATGGTAGTTATTTGATCTTGTATTAGTTAATTTTTTTTCAAGTTCTAGATCTATAATGGGTCTATTTGGATTGACAGTGGAAAAAGCAGCTCATTTGCAATCTGATTTTTTAAAAAATAAGATTGGGTAAAAGTTAAATTGGATAAGGTGAATTATATTTGTATTGGAGTTTAAAAAAGTTCGTTTGTAAAAATGAGATTGGTAAAAAGTTGTTTGGATTATAATTGAGTAAAAGTAAGTTTGTTTGAGTAAAAGAAATAAGACCCACATTTTGTCTTTCTCTCTCCACTTTTCCAACTCTATAAGGTGCAATTTTTAACTTTTGACTTAAATATGTGCTTTTGACATAAGTTCTTAATTTTTTAAGGTCTTCCAAACATATTCAAACATATTAAAAGCCACTCAAACGTGACTCCAAAGAGGCACAATAAGTCAAAACATGAGATAAGCCCTTGAGTATCATAATTGTTTGGACTACTAAACCTCTTTCTCTTTTCCCCTGTAGGGAAAACAGGAAAAATATTTTGGAGGTAGGGATTGGTTCATCCATGTCTGATTTTTTTTTGGTTCCCTGCATGTTCAGCAGGCTTGGGTTGAAATATTTGATTAATGCTAATTCATGTTCATTTCTGTTCATGGCTCTTATTTATTTTATTTCCCCAAGTCTACAAGCTTGTTTCGTTGTTTTCCTTTTAGATGCCTTGCTACTATTTTATGGAGATATTCTTTATCGTTTATTTGTAGGGCAATTAGAGCACACGAAGCTTAAATATCAAGTTTTGCTCTCAATTTAATTTTCTATACCGTTAATTCTTCTTAATTAGCTGGGCAGCACCTAACTCACTTACAACTTAATCCATCAACTATGACTCGCTGTAACTCAACTCTTATACTTTTGACTCGTTTGTAACTTAACGTCTAATCTTTTCATATTTAATAATTTAATCCTCATCATATATAATTTTTTTTGACTCATTAAATAATTATCCTACATGTTAAAAAATTACTTTAACACCATTGAAAATTGGAAATATGTCGTCCAAATCAGCTCAGGTGTGAATAGAAAATAGAATCTTGCCGGATTTCTTCTCCGCCCAACTCGAAGTTGAAAAGGCAACCCATGCGGGAGAATTTATATAGTAATGAATTAATCTTGGGTCTGGAGAATTTCTCTTGTGGGATTTGAGCTTGAGATCATTTGTGTGAAATTGTATCCCAGCCCAATGGATTTTGTGGAAGCCACAGCGATTTTCTTTGTGTCCAAGGACTTTGCTGGCAATTTTCCTTACCCCACTCTCATCATTTGATCAAATTCAAAGCAGATACAAGAACAATCACGAGGCCTGGCGCAATTATATTAGCGCTTAGCTGTGTTCTTTAAGTATTTAGAGGGTATTAGTCATTGTTACTAAGAAACAAGAACGTGGACCGGACACCAAACCAGTTAAGGTAGTGATCCAAGGATCAGTTGATCGGGATCAACTCAAGATCCAACAGGTCATATTAAAATAGTATAATTTAATTAAAAATAACAAAATATAACAACGTTAATAATCACTAATAATGAAATATAAGGAAATATAACAATAGTTTTATTGTAACAATAACAAAGTATAACAATATTGGAAATTTTGATATTTATGGTTCATCATTAACTCAAATTAACAATCATTGATACCAAAATTATCATTAAATTCTTTTAAATCTATAAAGGCTGAGATATTAGGAGTTGAATGAAGAAAAATAAGACCAATAACAACATAATCATCTAAACCGGTTCATTATCGGTTCACATCGGTTTTTACCAGTTTGACCGGTTTGCTTCCGGTTCAACTCTCTCCCAGTTTAACATCCAAACCAAACCAAACCAGGTCGGTTCACAGGTTTTCTGGTTGAACTGGCCGGTTTGATCTGGTTTTTTGTTATCTGATTGTTACCGGATAGCCTTAAAAAAACAGATACAAGAGCAGGCTCAGAAGCACAATCTTTCTTGGAAATTTTCCTAGAAAATCTACAGAACAAACACGAATGTGATGGGTTTTCTGTGAAAATCGAGATTTGTTGAGAATCTACCATACTAGAGGAGAAATATTATTTTCGCTTTTTGGTGAAGAAGCAGAGGATGAAGACGCTGCTGGAGGTAATGGAGTCGGAGCACGATTACTAAACCCCTACTGCCATTAAAAAAAAAATGATAGAAAAATTTTCTACCATATCTCTTTTTTTCTTATAAAGATTTTGCCTCTTTTCCTTCAACTTTTACTCTTCTATTTGTAAGCTATTTTCTTTGATTTTTGTTTTTTAATTTTTAGCAATAATGATTCCCATTTAAGTACCAAATTATCATTAATTATGATTTTTTATTTTATTTATTTTATTCATAATTATGACTCTAAAAGATATTTTAAGGGAAAATTCCAAAAAAGTGATAGCTGAATTTCAAAATTCCAAATCAGTATTCGTTACTACACTCATAAAGAAAATGACTACATTCAAAGAGCAAATGACAACTCATTTTTGTAGTAATTCCTGATTTGGCATTTTGAAATTCAGTAGTCACTTTTTTGGGATTTTCCCATATTTTAAATTCGGAGCCAATCATCTTAAATGAGAGATTTTTTATATTTCTTATTTTTCAATTTGTGAGTTTTTGTTTAATGACCCCGCATCCTATTTCCTAAACAGGAGCCAATCAACATTTAATCTCACATTTTACTTTATTACCATTTATTATGGGGAGAATTTTTTAAATTTTTATTTATTTATTACATGATGGACCTTTCAAACTTGGCTTCCAAGAAAGAATCAAGAATAATTTTTCATTAATTTTTTCTTTCATTTTTTTTTTATTTTATTTATTATTCTTGTGGGTCCGGACAAAATGGGGGTTCACCCTGATCATTTCCAAACAACCTATAATTATCAACCAAAAAAATTAATGCACATAACTTTATAGGTTATCTCAATTTTGAAGTAGATATAATTATGAGTTTATTACTATTAATAAATAGCTATTAAAATTATAAAGTCCATCCAGTATTTTTAAGTATCTTGTGGTGTATCCAACACTCTAAGATATTTTTTTTAGATGTGTCCAGTACCTTAAATTATATTTTAGTATATTCAGCACCTTAAAATATATTTTTTTAGTTGCATCAATTACCCTAAATTATTTTTTAATGAACCTGGCACCTTAAATTGCTTAGTGTAAAATTATACTAAAAAATATTTTAGAATGCTAGATACATCTTAAAAAGTACTTTAAAAAGGCAGATACAATATATAATATTTTTAAATACTAGATCAGATTCACCTAAAAAAATATTTAATGGTGTTGGACATACTTGCACCCTTGAAATTGTTGAAATTAAATCCCCCAACCCTCATATGTTAACATACTCAATATAAAAATTTCTATCAAGTTTATACATAAAGTCCCTGAACATCATCAAATAAAAAAATAATTATAAATTTTTTTTCCATGAAATATTAGATTAAAATAAAGCTTATGTTGACAACTAAAATAATAATATTATTAGATGCCTTAATCTTCTCTATACAAAATCACCAAAAAAAAAAAAACAAATGGGGGAAAACAGAATAAGAATGCATAGCGCCACCTTCCTATAATATAGTAGATGCCTTAATCTTCTCTATAAAAAAAATCACCAAAAAAAAAAAAAAAATTGGACCGCTTTATAATTATCAATCATGATTAATTATTTTCAGTTCTATTTAATGGTTAAAATTTTTTGAATTTATTTATAATTTTAGCTTTGGAATTGATGTATATATTTTTTAAACTTAAACTTCACTCTTTCTTTGCACTTATCTTGGCCTCTTATGTATTACTTAAATTTAAAAGTTAACAAAATTTTAAAAACAATAACTTTTGAATCCATGATGAATTATTTATATTTGAATTCATTAGTTGAATATTTTAGATTTATTTTCTACTATATATTCTATATTTTTTATTAAGAAGAAAGATGTTGAAATCTTTCACAGACATGGGTATTTTATTTGACACTTTTTTAATCCTATTTGATGATTATTAACAAAAGAAAACTGTAAAATATTCTTGAAAAAGTTGATGCGATCAGAGAATTTTTTTTTTAATACAAGGACAAGCTACGCTTGACAAATTTAGTTATATATTTATATCCCCTCCCCTATTTTCTATGTCTATCAAAGCTAGTCTCCTGCAGCAGTCGGTGACATCTGGATAAAATTCCATCTGATCTTCAATTGAGTGAGCATGCTTTGCTAACGCATCTGCACATTGTAGTGACTCTCGGGCAGCATATGTGAGCTTCATATTCCAATCTTCATAGATGAGCTTCCTCGTCTCCTCGATCTCTTGTCTGAATGGATGATTGATGCCACTATCTCTCATCAGAGTGCCAATTGCTTCCAATGAATCTGAGTGTATCTGAAAATCACTTATATTAAGGTTCTTGCATACCTCCATCCCAGCTTTCATAGCTAGGATTTCAGCGGCAACAACTGGGTAATTTCCAAGCTTCTTTGCAAATCCTATAATCCACTTTCCTTGGTAATCACGAACTACGCCTCTACAGGTTGCCTGTTTATTTTCTCAGACCAATGCATCTACGTCCACTTTGAGTTCACCCATCGGTGGTCTAGTCCAGTGTCTAGATAGGCTTTGACGATCCTTGAAGATTTGATGGCGGAGTTTTGCTCCAGATATATCTTCCATGATGTGAAACAAACTTTGGTGGTAGATTTCCGAGCATGTGCTATTGTCTCCTCCAAATAATTGGTTACACCGTGCTTTCCAAATGAGCCAGCATACATGACCAAAGATCTTCGTCCATGGCCATCGTTGA